ACATTACCTATAGACAGACAATAGGGTGGAGAAGGCCTGGGGTGGGGCAGGGTGGGTGGAGGGGGGCAATGGAGGGAAAAAAGAGGGACATTTGTAATACTCTCAACAATAAAGTTTTTTTAAGTATAAAAAAGAAGCAGTCGGAAATAAAGAATACATCTGATATCAAGAATACACTAGAAGGAATAAAATAAAAAATAGGTTGGCCATGGCCTGTGTTGCTCAGTGATTAGGGAATTGGACTGCTCACCAAAGGGTTGAGCGTACGAGTCCCAGTTAAGGGCACTACCTGGGTTGTGTGTTCGCTCCCCATTTCCAGTCAGGAGGAGTGCAGGAGGCAGCCAATCAATGTGTCTCTCTCACATCGATGTTTCTCTCTCGCTCTCTCTCCTTCCCTCCCTTCCTTCCACTCCTTCTAAAAAGCAATGGAAAACGTATCCTCAGGTGAGGATTAACAACAACAACAATAAAAAAGTAGGTTGAATGAAGCAGAGAATTGAATCAGTGATTTGGAAGATAATGTAGAAAAAAAAACCCAAGCAATCAGAGCATCTAAAAGAAAATGAATTTAAAAGAATGTGCATTGAGAGAACCAAGATGGTGGCGTAAGGTACAGACCTGTGTGTGCTGTCTCCCACAACAACATTGAAACTACCAACTATAAAAGAAACAGCTGTCATTCAGAACCATGGGAAAGCTGGCCCAGTGGAAGCTCTACAACTGGAAGGAAAGAAAGAAGAGCATTGAGACTGAGTAGGTTGTGCAGAGGCTCCAAGAACGGAGGTACGGAATCGTGCGCCAGGCTGGCTGCAACTGGATGCGCAGTTTTTTTCAACCAGAAGGGGAGGCGGACTATCAAATCCACTGAGCGTGGTTGGGGCGGGATGCTAAGCTCCCAGACCCCTACGGGAGAAGCGGCCTTGCAATGACCCAGAGAGCGAGAGTGGCTGTCTCACGGAGCTGCTCGCCGGCACTCAGCACTCGGGGACTCGAGACACGGAGTCGCGGAGAGGCGAGGAGTCTCGGAGAATGCCATTTGCCCTTGGCCTCGCCCTGGTGATTCCCGGGGACCCCGCCCTACTCAAATTACATCCTCAACCAAGCTGTGCTAGTGAAACAAAGAGAACCACCAACGTTTTTGCAGCCCAGCCCAGCAGAATGCAGATTTCAACTCCTCGCATACATAAGGGACACAATAAAGAAGCAGAATCAGGTTCAGAGGAAGCCGGAGCCGGACACGGCTGGGCCGGCAACGTGGAACCGCTGTACCAGCAAACGCACAGGCAGGCCCACCAGATCCAGTATCACATGGGATGCTGAGTGATGGCAGACAGGCAGTCTGTGCACTTGGTAGAAAACGAAATCCAAAATCGAAACGGCCCCGGTGAGGTTGAATCGGCCCCGGTGAGGTTGAAACGGCCCCGGTGAGGCTGGGACGGCCCCTGTGAGGCGGGGATGGCCCCTGTGAGGCTGAGATGGCCCCTGTGAGACTGAGACGGCCCCTGGGAAGCTGAGAAAAATACCACATGAACTCACTCATTTATGGATAATAAGAGACATTATAGACTGATGAACAAAAATGGATACAGAGGCAGAGCAGCATTGAGCAGAATGTCAAACTACAGTGGGAACCCTGGGGAGGGTTGGGGGGAGTAGGAGATCAACCGAAAGACTTATATGCATGCATATGAGAATAACTAATGGACACAAGACACTGGGGGGTGGGGGAAGCCGGGGGAATGTCAAGGGGGAGAAAAAAGGAGACATTTGTAATACTCTTTGTAATACTTTAAGAAAAAAAAAAGACAGAGTCCTTGCCCTCAAAAAAAAAAAATAAATAGATGAATGTGCATTTTCTTTTAGCTGCTCTGATTGCTTGTTTTTTTAAGGGAACTTTAGGACAATGTGAACCATAACAACATCTGAATCATAGTAGTATCAGAAAGTGAGCAAGGAAGGAATAGAGAAACCGTTTGAAGAAATAATGGCAGAAAACTGCTGAAGGAAAAACAAGATGAACCCAAAGAGGCCCACACCAAGACACATCATAATTAAAATGGCAAAGGTTACAAAGAGAGAATCTTAAAAGCAGCAAGAGAGGCACAGTTAGTTACTTACAAGGGAGTCCAAAAGGCTGTCAGCTGATTTCTCAACAGAAATACTTCAGCCAGAAAGAATTGGATGAAGTAATGAAAAACAAGGACGTGAAACCAAGACCACTCTATTCAGCAATCCTATCATTTAAAATTGAAGGAAAATTAAAGAACTTCCCAGACCAAAAAAACAACAACAAACAAACAAACAAAGAAGGCTAAAGGAGCTCATTATCACCAAATCAGTATTGAACCAGTATTGCAAATAATGTTAAAGGAACTGCTTTAAGAAGAAGAAGAAATATAGAGAGAGGAACATGATGATGATGACTCCAAAACATAAAACTGCATTTTCAAAATCACAGAGTTGACATATATGCTGAAATGAAAATTCTAGATTTTTGTGACTACAAAACTGTGGATTAGTTCCTCAAAATTGAACCTCCCCCATCTCCTTTTTTGGTGATTGGGGTGGTCCTTGTATTGCTTATGCCCCATAACTCTCCATCAACTGGGACACACCTCTTTAACTTTTAAAATACACCATGATATCGTGAAGAAAACTCACCTGATGTCTCCACACGGCAGTAGTGATAGGGGTTAATGCACACCTCTTTCTGCTTGGAGCCAAATGGGAACTCACAGCATTCCAGGGGCTTCAGCTCATGGTGAGATTGCAGATCAGGCCAACGCCACACTCGGCAATAAATAACGTGAGGCAAACCCTTGCGGTGGGACACCTGCAGCCGCCCGTCCAAGGATCGAGGAATCGTAACACATTTGCTGGGCTGCCCTGGACAGCTGAGAGCCCTCTCCAGCTCATCCATGGCTCCTTTCTTCTTCTTTAGCTTCTTCACTAAAGAGTCTACTGCCTTCTCTGCCCACTTTTCCTCTTCATCTCCTTGCTTCCAGCCTAGCAGTCTCTTCACTGCTGGACTGGTGAAGGAGAAGAGAGAGCTGATGGGGGTGCTGGAGTGCATAAGAGGTTGACTGCAGGTGTCCGGTGAAAACAGGAACTGGACAGACAGCCCTTCAGTGCCTGCAGGGCTTAAGAGAAGTAAGCAGCAAGTAACTCTCTGGGGATGTCATAGATCTTCCTTTTCTTCTGGTAGTCATTGTGACAAATTCAGGTTGGGAAGCATGTTGACATTCTCCTAAGCCCTAGAAAGGACTGGCAAACTCTGAAAAATAAGACAAGACTTCAGTTAACTTAAGAATAATTTTCAGAAAAGGTTAAAGTTCAACATAAGGGAGAAATTCTTCAAATGTTTTAGACTTGAAAACTCAGTCATCTTAACTCTCTCCTCTCCTTTATTCCCTACTAGAGGCCTGTTGCACGAAATTTGCACATGGGTAGGGTCCCTAGGCCTGGCCGGAAATCAGGGCTGATCAGGGCCTTCCAGCTGTTGGCCAGGGCCTTCCTTCCCCAGCTGCTGGCTGCCGGCCGGAGCCTGTGCCAGGTACCAGCAGTGAGTGGGGCCATTGCCGACAGTGGGTGCGAACAGCGGCTTTGGCACTGGCAGTGGGTGCGAGTGGCAACTTCAGCACCGGCAGGGCACTGGCAGTGGGTGCGAGTGGCAACTTCAGCACCGGCAGGAGGTGCAAGCACCCATCAGGACCTCGGCACATGGGAGCAAAGAATTTTCAGTAACCACTAGAGGCTCGCCCTGATGCCAGCGACCGGCGCCCATCTTGGTCTGGCGCCCCCGCTCACCTGCTCCACCATCCTGCCAAGGCTGATGCCTGCCATGTTCTGCGCTCTGCCACCTGCTGCAGATGCATGCCATTTCTGCACACGTCCCCTGGTGGTCATAGCAACCAGTTGTTCGGTTGTTCCGTTGTTTGGTTGTTCCACCATTCTATTTGCATATTAGGGTTTTATATATATAGATATCCAAGTTTTGGTATTTCTGCATTCAAAATTTCTATGAAAAATTGTTTTTGTGGCAATGTACATTTTATTAACTCTTTTCTTCCATTTAGTATTCTATTTATTATTTTTTTCTTTATTAAGGTATTACATATGTGTCCTTATCCCCCTATTGCTCCCCCCCGCTCATGCCCTCAGCCCCCTAGTGTCTGTGTCCATTGGTTATGCTTATATGCATGCATACAAGTCCTTTGGTTGATCTCTCCCCCTCCCCCGCACCCTTCCCTGCTTTCCCTCTGAGTTTGACGGTCTGATAGATGCTTCTCCGTCTCTGGATCTGTTTTTGCAAATGTTGAAAATTTCTCTTCATTTACACCAATATCTGAGGCATAGCCCACCTCACTACTCACCTATATTACTGAGACAAGCTATAAAGTAGCTTCTCTCTTCTAATTCCAGCCATTTTTTCCCAAATACAATTTTTAATCCTCACCTGAGGATATGTTTATTAATTTTTAGAGAGAGGAAGGGAGAGAGAGGGAAACACACACACACACACCAATGTGAGAGAAAAAAACATGGAGTGGCTGCCTCCCATATGTGCCCTGACCAGGGATTGAACCTGACCTGGAATGGAACTCGCAATCTTTTGGTGTACAGGACAATGCTCCAACAACTGAGCCACCCAGCCAGGGCTAAATACAATTTTAATAGGTCATTTGACTGCTTAAGAAATTACAGTTGCTTTTTGGTTTCCAAAATATAAACTTTTCTGCCTCGGTCTCTAGGGCCTCCAAAATCTTTCCTCAACATACTCATGCTTCCTCCTTGCTCATTTATAATTTGAACAAGTAATCCACCTCTGTTGTGGAATATATAAGTGAAAAAGGAAACAAGTAGGATCACTAATAATCTCACCACTCATATGTTCTTCCAAACTACTTTATAGGACAGTGGTTCTCAAAGTGTGACTCAAGGACCCCTTGAGTCCCAGAGTCCCTTTCATGGGAGTTACAAGGTCCTCTCTTTCTCAACTACATATCTGAGTCATTAGATTTTCTCATGTACTTCAACTCAAACAACATATCACAACAGACTGTATGCAAAAGTGAGTATGAGAATCCAAGTGTTATCCATCAAATCAGCCATTAAAGAGATTTGCAAAGATAGAAAACAATAACATTCTTCTCACTATTTTTTTCAAAAAACATCATTTTTGGATAAAAAATATGTCAATGTTACTATATGATATGATATGAAAATAAAATTCAAAAGATACTATTTAAAATGGGTATGTTGTTGGTTGCTCAGTGACCATGCCTAAGCACTGGACAGTTAGAACCTGTGAATGATCCCTGAGTACTGCTTCTTGGTCAATGTGGCTAAGAAAAGCCTACATCACCTACCAAGCTGTACACAACAATTAGTCCAGGGGTCAGGTAGCACTCATCCATTCTGGAAGGTCCCATTCCAGAAACATTCACCATGACAGAACATCATTGTTTCATTATTGTTTTGTTTTTAAATTTTCAACTTTATCAGTTTTGACCCTCTAATCCATGAGCAGCATAAATATACCTTGGTGTCCCTTCTTTAAGAGTTTACTAACCAAATTTAGAACTTGAACACACTTGCCAATGGAATACTTAATTTCCTTAAAAGAATACTGCTTTCTTGATGACTTTTATAACACTTTTTGTCAGCAGTAATTAATACAACAATAAGTGCTATTTAAGTGTATAAACAGATCCATCTAGAAGATAGTTGACTTATTATCAATATTGGCATATGTATATATCATGTCTTATTACTGTACTGATTTCTTAAAGAGAAACCAGGCTTAACATACACACATATAGATGTATATATTTTATTAATTTAAATTGTCCTCACTTAAAAACTAGTCTGTTATACCTATGTGTTACAAATTAGAGGGAATCACAAGCTTATATTGTAAGGTATAAATAACTACCTCATACACGTTCAAAGTTAGTGGCATGCAATTAATTGAATAAACATGGAATGGTATCATGAGTTCATATTCCGGGAAAGAGGCTTTTTAAGCTATGTTCAGAGATAACCTACAAATCTCTGAGAAGAAAGTTTCCATTCACCAGTCTCCTAGTCAGTATCTTGTTAATGGTAGATATCTTCTGCCCAGAGTGCCAAAGGATGATGGTAGAGATGCATTTTTATAATATGGGCTGTATTCAAGAGGGCCATGTGGGTTTTCAGGGCCTCTATGGACCTTTGAATTGTCTGCTTAGTTAGGGTGATTGTGTATATAGATTTTTCTAGGGAGACAGCCATAGGTATTTTTCTTCAAATTCTTTTTTTCTGTTACTTTTATTTATTTTAAAATTCTTTATTGTTTAAAGTATTACATATGTCTCCTTTTCCCTCTATTGACCTTTCCTTGGCCACTCCCACCCCCCAGCACAAGCCCTCACCCCCCTAGTGTCTGTGTCCATTGGTTATGCTTAAATGTATGCATATAAATCCTTTAATCTCTGACCACCCCCCATCCCCTGCCTTCCCTCTGAGGTCTGTTTGATGCTTCTCTGTCACTGAATCTATTTTTGTTCATCAGTTTATGTTGTTCATTGTATTCCACAAATGAGTGAGATCATGTGATATTTAAATTTCTCCCATGGGCTTATTTCACTTAGCACAGTGCTCTCCAGGTCTATCCACGCTGTTGTGAATGGTAAGAGTTCTTTCTTTTTTACAGCAGGATAGTATTCCATTATGTAGATGTACCACAGTTTTTTAAACCACTGATCTGCTGATGGGCACTTAGGCTGTTTCCAAATCTTAGCTATTGTAAATTGTTCTGCTATGAACATAGAGGTGCATATATCCTTTCTAATTGGTGTTTCTGATTTCTATTCCTAGAAGTGGGATCACTAGGTCAAATGGGAGTTCCATTTTTAATTTTTTGAGGAAAGTCCATACTGTCTTCCACAGTGGCTTCACCAGTCTGCATTCCCACCAGCAGTGCATGAGGGTTCCTTTTTCTCCACATCCTCACCAGCACTTGTTGTTTGTTGATTTGTTGATGATTGCCCTTTTGACAGGTGTGAGATCGTACCTCATTGTCGTTTTGATTTAACATCTCTCAGATGATTAGTGACTTTGAGCATGTTTTCATATGCCTCTTGGCCTTCTGTATGTCCACTTTCAAAAAGTGTCTATTTAAGTCCTTTGTCCATTTTTTGATTGAATTGTTTATCTTCCTTTTGTTAAGATGTATGACTTCCCTATGAATTTGGGAGATTAGACCCTTATCAAATATAAGATTGGAAAAAGATGTTCTCCCATGCAGTGAGCTTTCTTGTTGTTTGGTTGATGGTTCCTTTTGCTGTGCAGAAACTGTTTATTTTGATGTAGTCCCATTTGTTTATTTTCTCCTTGGTTTCAACTGTTCTAGGAGCTGTATCAGTAAAAATATTGCTACAACAAATGTCTGATATGTTGCTGCCTGTGGATTCTTCTAAGATTTTTATGGTTTCCCATCTTACATTTAAGTCCTTTATCGATTTTGAGTTTATTTTTGTGTATGGTGTAAGTCTACATTCATTTTTTTTTGCATGTACCTGTACAATTTTCCCAACACCATTTTTTGAAGAGACTGTCTTGACTCCATTGTATGCACTTGCCTCCTTTGTCAAATATTAATTGAGCATAATGGCTTGGGTCAATTTCTTTTTTTATTCCAGATGAATTTTTGGAGAGTTTGTTCTAGGTCTGTGAAATATATTCACACTCTCTCCCTCACTACCATCCTGCCAGCTGCCATCTTAACCTCTTGTCAAATTCTTAAAAGAACCTGTTAGCTCCAAAGTGTTTTTAGAACCTCACTGAATTAGAAGAAACAGGAAAAGGGTAAAGTAAAAGAGAGAAGGGGAACAAGCTGAAGAAACTAAAAGGAGTAGCTGAATATTATAACAGACTAAATTGATTGCTAGAGAACTCTAGGAAGACTGCAGAGTATAAAGCACCAGGAATGTCTCTTCCCACCTAGAAAACACAATATGGCAGTCATGCAGAAAATGAGGAACAAAAGGTATCAGGTATACATAAAACAAAAAGTAAAATGGCAGAAGTCCCTCTTTATCATTACTTTAAGCATAAATGGATTAAACTCTCCAACCAAAATAGAGATTGGCATAGTAGATTAAAAACACGTGATTCAACTACATTTTGCCTACAAGTGACTCACTTTTGATCCAAAGACAGATTGAAAATGAAAGTGTACAAAAAGTTATTCCATGCAAACAGCAACCAAAAGAGAACAGAAGTTATTATGCT